AGAGGATGAAAGGACAGAGCCTCAAGCTGCACCAGGGGAGGTTCAATTTGGACATCAGGAAAAATTTCTTCATAAAAAGAGTTATTAAGCCTTGGAACAGTCTGCCCAGGGATGTTGTGGAGTCACTGGAGGTGTCCATGACTGAATGTGGCAATCAGTGCTGTGGTCCAGTTGACCAGGTGGTGGTTGGTCAGAAGGTTGGACTCAATGACCTTGGAGGTTTTCTCCAACCCAAATGTGTGGCCCACATCAGAGTCAGTCTCTATGCAAACATACAGCCTAAGATTACTGTGTTTGTTTTCTGATCAAATGGATCCACCAGAGAAGAAATTAGATACATGTTTTGCAGATGTCTTCATAGCTTTTTACTTGCCAAGAAAGCAATGTCCATGCCTAGGGAGCACAGGATTTGCTCTGGAATTTAGTCTGGCTATTGCCAGATGACAAGTTCTATGCCAAGACAAGATGATCTAGTTCTGGTTTTCCCCTCTGACTCATAAGCATCCCTAACGTCTCCCCATCCCCATTTTTCTGTTCTGTCCTCCCTACTGCTCAGTTACATCCATTATCCTCTCTCAGTTTGGAAAATTATGTCCAGAGCTGGTTTGTTGGATGGATTTGGGTGGTGTGTTGGCTACCTGGGCAGTGAGAGAGAGCTGGCACAGCAGGCGTGTGCCCATCCTGTGTGAAATGTTTAGAGAGCTGAAATGCTGAAATTTCCAGTCTCAAATAAGAGTTAGCAAACTGCTGTGCTTCTCTGTCTTAAAGGAAAGGTCAAAATTGGATGAAACTTTATAGCAATCCCAAATGCTGATTTGTGACATGAGTATTGTGAGTATCACAGGAATGTGAGTCCCTACAGATGCTAAGGCTTCTTACCTAGAAGGTTGGTGGTTTGTTTTGGTTTTGGTGTTGAACCACTTACGTTTTTTTCAACAAATGGAAGGAATTAATCCAAAGGAAATACCTGTAATGGAAGAGCTTTGGCCTGAGCACCTTTAAGTCACTGGAAACAAGTCTAAAATCAAGATCTTGTAATAAAAATGTTGATTTGGGAGCTCCTTTCCATCATGTAAGGCAGGGTGACTGTGCCTGACTTGCCTGTTTGATGTGGATGTTCTGCTTTCAAGTGTCATTATATTGGAGTCTGTCTAGGCTGATGAGAAAATGGTGTCAGAAACAAAGAGGGAAAACACACAGAATTCAACAGAAATAGCAAAATTTGAATAGGACAAAAGTCCAGTATAGGCAATCATAATTTAAACCAAAAGGGTTGTGGTGCAATGTTTGAACTGTAGCAAATGAAAGTTGTTCTACTCAGCATATTTTTGGTCTGAAACACACATTCATTCTTAAGGAAGGAATTTCTTTAAGTCAGCCTTACTCAGGGCTAGTGGGAATGGCTGGGATAGTCTTTAGGCACAAATCTCTTTGAGTTCTTGCCAAGAGAAGTTTCCTAAAACTATTGCCCTTGAGGAAAAGAATGTGAATTTAGTCCATAGGCAGGAAAACACTGGGACTGTTCATTTTATTTGTGCATACACAAAGCTGTTTAGGCCTTGAACTCCTGAAGACACAGGTAACTTGCACAGCAAGAGCTATTCAGAATGGTATCAGTGACTCTTGGGCAGGAAAAGAGCAACTTCAAAATGTATCTTTTTTTCCTAATTTGTGTAGCGTTGCATTTTCACAGATTCCAATATTCAGAGTTACACCTGTTCCTAAATCCACTTTCAAGTGGTAACATCCAACCTCATTTCCATGCTCCCAACTCCCCTCACAGCGAGGGCTCTGTCCCAGTGGATCTGTTTCCTTTCTCCTCACCAGGATATTTGTATATGAACAAAATGAATTGCTGGCAAGGGGCTGAGCAGGGAGCACCTCGAGTTCCCGGCACAGGGGATGCGCGGGTGGGGGGAAAAGCTTGAATATGCAAACGGAGCGAGCCAGACATGGGACAAAAGGGTGATATAATCCATTTTGCCAATGGCCAGCTGTTCAGCTGAGGGGCTGCCCCGCTCCTCCCGTGGATACTTATGCAAATGGAGGGGGCACAGGAAGGCAGCTGGACCACGGCTGAGGCTGGAAGCTGGGCTTTGTATGGTGAGCCTGCTCCTTAGCCAGCCCCTTGTGTGTGCTCGCCGTGCCCTGGGACCAGCTTTGCCATTTGCCTGCCGAGAGTTTGCCTTCGGCCCCATGGCGTGCCCCAAAATTCCAGGTGTTTAGGGGAGGAAAGCTGGATTCCCAAGGTTGGTGCACTGGTTTAGTAAAGCAGGCTGGGTGATTCACCTGCCTGTGACCCTGCTCCCCCCTCCCACCCAAATCTCTGCCATGCAATGAGAAAAGGTTTGTCTGAAATTAGGCACAGGAGTGTGGAAAATTGTGATGTTTCAGCAAACATCCCGGTTCTGCTATGGCAAGCTGGCTTGTCCCGTGTTGTTACCCTTGTTTTAATCCCTCTGACCATGTGCTGGGGTTCCTGGGGTGGTGTGCCCACCTCTCCTCATTGCCCTGGTACCAGATTTGTTCTGCAGTGAGGTGGAAAGCTCCAGGTTTGGGAGACAGCTGGGTGGGTCGGGCAATCTGAGCTCAGCTCCCACAGGGAGTTCCAGCATGGGGCAGCTGCATCCCTCTGCCAGGCTATGAAATGGGGTCCCAGGCTTGCAGATCAATGCTGGGGAGCAAGGGCTGGGTGACCCTAGCCAGGGAGTGGGGCAGCCCAGGCACAGGGCTGGATGGGACAGGACATCAGCCTGCATGACTGTCCTGGCTCTGCAGTGTCCATGGTGAGGAGCTGTGGTCTGGCACCCTACAGCATCTTTGGGACAGGGGCTGGTGGCCTTGGCCTGGGCTGGAACGGGGTTGGGATGCCTCACAGACCTTTTACAAGGGGCTGGGCCCCTTCTCTCCTCCTACCTTGTGGTTCCCTGTCAGTCGCTGTGTTTCTTGTCCCTTGGCAAACACACATTTTCAACATGTGGGTGCACAACACGTGAGTGGTTGCACAGCACACGCTCCTGTAGAATTGTTCCTGGAAAGCCCTCCATGTGTCCACACTGACATCAAAACCCCCATCATGGCCCAATGGATGGCAAGGGCAGGGATGCTCTGCTCTCAGTGCAGCCAGGGCACCGGGCACATGGGTGCAGGGAATTCAGCACCCTCCTTTTGGGCAGAAATGCTGGGAAATTTGGATCAGCAATTCATCTGGCAGAAGGCCAAGCACCATTTCAGGTGTTGAAATCCACTCCTGCAAAGTTTGAACCGTAATTTGGCATGTAAATTGTGGGGCTCTTGAACGATAAATTGCATTGCTTGGAGAGGGGGAATCAGGAGGGCCAGACAGGCAGTGGGGGCTGGGGCAAAGCTGCTCATCGTGGTGAGATGTCTGTGAGGAAAGAAGGTTGCCTTGGATGGGCAGGTCAGTATATGGGTTTCCAAAGCCAAAGGAAAAGGGTGAATCATAGACAGAAAGAATGGAAGAGTTCCATCTCTAGACATTGAGCCACATTTGAGCAGTGCAACCTACAGAGAAATTTACTGGACTTGGAAGCAATATCAGCTGCGTTATCAACACTTTCAGATGTGTAGTGAACCTTGTTCTCCCACAGTCTTCCTATCCTAAATATTAACTCCATGCATCTTTCAGATCCTCACTATGCTGTGCTAGGGAGAAACCCAATGAGGTGCTGGCAAAGAATGAAGAAAAATCTCACCATCATCTGTAAAGAGTTGGTGCTTTCCCCAGAAACACCCTTTTTGACTTGTCAAAACCTCGTTTGAAACCTGACTCATTCTCCATGTCTCACTTTCCCACCAGAAAATTGGTGCTTCTACCAATGATGATCCTTGCAAATAGCTTTTACAGTCTAATTTTAGTGCATTTTGTGAGTAGTCCATCTGAAAACACAACAGATTACTATGGAGATAGTCCAGACTACTGGGAAAATAATGTTTCTTTACTGCCTGGTAGATTGTTGAAAGTTTTTAGTAAAATGTCTTTCAGAATTAGTTCCTTTTTTAGTCTCTCCTTTGTAAGTGAAATGGAAGGCATGATTAGCAGAGAAATCTGTCATTTCCCTAATGAGGTTAAGTGATTAGATTAAGGAAATTCACGACCACAGTATGTCCTGGCCTAGAAGTTCCATGCAGCAGTCTGTGCTTTCCACATTGGGAGCAATTCAGCCTCCTGGCCATCATTTGTTTTTTTGCAGCATAAGAAATATGCTTATTTTACTGACCACAGGACTGTCAGGATGATTCTTGGCTGTGGACACCAAGGGAAGACTTCCTCCAAGAGGTTGTGCTTTCTTGGTTGTGCCTGCTTAGACACACTGCAATGCCAATGCACACGAATTTCAATATTTTCTTGTACGCTCTGGGGACTGTGCTCAAGGCCTGTGCTTGATCTCATTGTTGGGGCTATACCTTACAACTGCTGACAGAGCCTGCAGCAGAGCTGGGGGCAGACTCGAGGGTGCTTGGGTCTCCCCCGTGCTGCCCCTTTGCTGAGTGGTGCTGGAGAGCTGGTCCTCAGGCCTTTTAACATTTGACATTTTCTCTCCCCTGCTTTTCCCAGCAGGACCCATGTGCTACAGCGTGCTTGGCATCCTGGTTGCAGCTACTTCCTCTAACTGTAACGCAAGGCTTCCCTAATGGATTTTCTGCACCGTTTTGTAGCCTGACTATTGCTTTTTTTTAATTTTCCCGCTCTGACTGGAGGCTGACAAGGTCTGTCTCCTTTCTGCCCGCTCAGCCTCAGCGGATTTCAGTTGGAGCAGTTTAACGAACGTCAGCCGTGGCCTCATTGTGCTGCATTGTTTTTGTGGGTGTCTGCACCTTTCAAACCAGCCCCAATTAGAAGAGCGGGGGAGAAGAGGGGGGAAAAGAAAGGAAGTAAATAGAGGCAAAATGATTCAGCTTTCAGCAAATGTGCAGCCTGTTTGTCAGACAGATGGAGCCACGTAGTGGATGGCTTTGCTGCAGCCTGGCCCCCCGAGCAGGTGGGTATTTTGGAAACGAGGAGCGGTTTGTCCTGCTAATTCGCGGCCGCGCAGCTCACACAGGACATATGTTGATTACAACTTGCCTCAGCTCCTGCTGTTGCAGGCATCAGAACGTGTCCACCCCTCCCCACCAGGCTTTAAAGAGAAAATGCTGGAATAAAAACAAAAAGAAAAAGTTACAGACACTTGTTGCATTGGAGTGGGAAGGACAAATGGGAGTTCAGAGCCACCCAGGCACGATTTCACTGAAGTACTAATTGCCAAGTGCCTTTCATTAAGAGACCATCATGGTTGTCCCAGCAGCATTTTGAACATCTATGCAGATGGGCAGATGGCCCTTTGCTGTAGTACAGGCAGACGCATCTAGTGTTACAGATGGATTATTATGTTGATTCATCACTAAAAGAAAAACTTATCTCACAACAGGGCACTCGTTGGAGCAGAGTTCCTTCTCGAGCTTATGTTTCTTCTCAGTATTGCCAGCTTTTACTGCTTGAAACACAGTCTTCAATCAGCAAGGCTAGTGTTTTCCCTTCTGTGCAGCATAAAAGAAAAAGAAAAAAAATTAAGGGCCCGTCTAAGAGTAAAATGGTCCCTTGGGAAACCTAGAAGGTGTTGTATAACTTTAACTGCTGCTGGGCAGGGAGGGCACCTTTCCTAAGTGGTACCAACTCTTCATCTTTCTAACTTGTGCTGAACTGTGGTCATTTCTGGGTCATTGTCATCAGGAACAGAAACATCATGTTGTCCTTAAGGGAGAGGAATCAGTTTAAAGCTGAAGTTAACCTGCCCAGATGATGACTTAGCCTCAAGCACCATCATAGCTATTGGATTGGTAGATATGGGTCCAGATGTGTGGTCTACCACTATGGTGGGATGAAAATGGAACTTCCACAATGAATACTAGAAGAAGCAAAGGCTGCATGGTGTCTTGCCTAGTTAATTGGAAGGATGCCCCCTTGTGCAGTGTGGGGGCAGAGGAAATGTGAGGCCTGCTTGACCCAGGTCCAAGGGGAACAAGATAATGAAACAGGTGGATGGGTGAGTTACGTCAGACCATGGCTTTCCTTGGGAAATCAGTCTTCTTGCTGCTCCCATGGTGATCATCCTGGGTTGCATATTTTGTCACAGCCTTTCCTAAGGTAGGTCTTTTCCTGTGGACATCTTCCATAGGACACTGGAGAATCAAGTGCAGCCTCTCACGACTCCTGTCACCAGCTACATTGCAGTTGTGACAAGAATATCACTCTTGTTTCACCCTGTTTAAAAAAAAAATGGAGGGTGAAAAAAGAAATCTCATTTTCTGCTTGACCTTGATATCTGGATGCTGAATTTTATATCCATTAGAGAAACTAATTTCCTGCTCCTTATCTACCCAGCTTTTGTAACTTGGTGCTGTTACCATGAGCAGAGCTCTACCAGAAGTTTGGCCAACAAGAGAAAAGCAAACAAAAGATGAACTCAGAGATATGAAATCTGGAGCTGCACCTGCTGCAAACAAGGTTATTCTGAAGCTGGCTGTCATTGCACACTTCAATAATGAAGCAGCAGTGTAAGGTCCCACTAATACCTGCAGAAATTGCCCCACAGCTGAGATACGCGTCCCTGTGGTTGTGTCACTCTGCAGTAGCTGTCTGTCCTGAGATCACAACTCTTCCCTTTATGAGGTGTGGTTTAACACACCCACCCCCCTATGGAGGTCTGAGGAGTTGAAAATCCTCTGATCACACTGGCATTTCTCCAAATAAAGGAGGAACTTGTGTGCCAAACCTTGAAAATTAGCCTCCGGAGACAGCTTAAATTTGCCAGTTGTTACTTGGGAAGATGTGACTCCCACCCAGGCTTGATGCAGGATTTCAGATTTCCAAATGTGTCTGGACAGTCATTAGATAAATGAGTGTCTGGTTCACAGGCTGCCTCAAAGCAAATGGTATCTGCTCAAAGTTTGGGTCCAAACAGTCCCCCTGAGTACCTGCACATGGGGCTTGGTGCTGCTCTGTGGGGCTGGGAGCTGCTGGGGACTCCAACACATGGTGAAAGCCTGCAGATAAGGGATATCTCCAACAAATAAGCAGGACACTTATCTGTGGTTGCAGAACAGACAATCATGGAAGGCAGCAGAATTTAGGATAGACACACATGTAAAATACCAGGAAAAAATAGTTATATAACATAAAGAAATATTGCACAATGCAGTGAAAGAGATATAATCCTTAAAACAGAAAATGACCTTTTGGTTTTAGTTTCTGAATGACATCAGCTGAGATTATGCAATGGTTAACCTGTCTGTAAAACAAGGCAGTTGATATTTACCTGCATCCCCACCACAGGAGTCGACAATCAATGTTTGCAAGGCAGTTGGAGGACTTTGGATGAGTGACTTTGCAGGTACAAAGACAAGTTTTAGAGCTTCCTCACTGAGGAGCAGCAACCAGTGCCTCCACGTGTCTGTGCACAACCACATGAAAGCTCACCAACAGTTTTCCCAAAGGAGCTCTGTGGTTTCAAAAGTGCATGAAACACAGTCCATTGCTGATCAGTTAACATCACCCTACAGTGCCTTGTGCCTGGAGACTCAGTGGCCACCCTACAGATGTGTTGTCATATTCAAAGGAAATGGTTTTTCTACTGGGCATATGAATCCAGGCTAAATACCCACTGTGGGTCTTCCTGGTCTTGGTTTCATCCTATCAGAGCATGAAAATATATCTGCTTAAAAGTGTCACCTGTACCTAACAATACTAGCTTCAGTGGTCCCTACCTCCTACAGCTGTCTGATGCTGCCAGTGTGACATTATTTCCCAAGCTCCATGGGAGGCTGAAAAGTGAAGTGACTGTTGGCACAGGAAGCTGTTTAGGGCAAGGTTTGGTAGAAGGTGTCTGCCTTCAGCATCTCCTGCTCTCAATTTTATGACCTGTTTTTTCAAAAAGCCTCTCGGATCTAGGGAAAAATCCAGGCCGTTTATTTGCCGTGCTTACCTGGGACTTGAAATACACTTTGAAAATCTGGCCCAAATATTTCTTTTATAACTAAAAAGAGGAAAAATTCTATTTGTTAGAGTTATAATTGTCAAGGAAATGCTGGTGTCTTTGTTATCTGAGGCAGAGCCCTTGAGACTTCTCATGTCTATATTTTGCTGAGAGGCACTGTCCTCCCATATGGGTCAGGAAAACAAGGCAGTCAAAGCAAAGACTGAGGGAATCATAGGATAGCAGTGATAACATCTTCTGTGGAGTAGTTTATAGTGACCTCATTGCTTTGCCTGGTGATTTGTTTGAGTGTTTTGAAAAAGATAGTGAATAAACCAGGGGGAAAGAAGCATCCCATCAGTTTGAGGAAAAAGGTAAGAAAACAATCTCTTTCTACGAGCTTGTTTCTGTAGAAAGGAGAACCCCCAGCTCTCTGCAAAGGATGGGCTTGAACTGGCAACAAGCTGGGGTGTCACTCTGAAGGTGGAAGACAGCATGTGCATTGGGGTTCTGCTGCCTTTGAAGCCATCTTTGTGCCAGCAAGAACTGGAGCTTCTCTGAAAAAAAAAAAAAGGCAGACTGGTGTTTCACAGAGAGAGGTGATAAGAGCAAGTGGTTTGCAGCTCAACCAGGAGATAAACAGGTGTCTTAAAATGACTTCTGTGTATCCAGGCCAGGATGAGAAAAGGAGGGCTCTTTTCTCTGCTGGCTGTAAAACCAGGAAGCAACATCTGAAAAGTAGAAGTTATGTTAATGTTTGGTAGGGTTCCATCCACTCTGGCTAGGGTATCTTTTTTTTCCAGGTGATTCACATCATCTACAGCCTCCATCCTCCTATCCTGCTTGCAGAATTCCAGTTTCCAAGCTGTCAGCCCCTCTGCATAAAGGAAGACGCTGGCTCAGTTTGTTAAGACCATGCTGAACATTTATAGTATAGAGTGAAAAAGTAAAGGTGAAATGTGCAGCCCAGGGCTCCCAGTTCTTTCTTGTGTGCTCCTGGGAATGGAATTTTGTCCATTGGACTTGAGCTGCTCTAAAAAGCACAGAACAAAAGCTGATCTTAAAAGTGATCCGCAAAGGAATAAATGGCAGGCTCACTCTTTGTTATTCATGTATGGTGCTCAAAGAGCACTTGAAATGGTTGGGATTTTCTGCTGAACATTTTCTTTTTTTAAAATTCTGCTTGGGTTTTGTGGGGTTTGGGTATTTGTTTTAGCAGTGGTTCAAGCATATGTCCCTCCTGAAAAACATTATGGCTGGCTGGGAAACCCATACATTGATAACATGAGGGGACCCATGAGACTGAAATGGGCAGAAATGGGAAAAGCTGGGTGGTTGGAGGGGTGATATTCTCCAAAAGGCAGCCTGGCTTTTGTCTCTTACTTAATTTTATTCCTGCCTGCCCTGTGCTCTGTGCCACACGATTTACTCACTGAATCATGCTCAGCAGCTGTATTCACAAGCTGGCATAAATTTATTTTCGTCTGCTGGCCAATTACACCAACTGCCTCAACTGTTGTTTATTTTCTTCTGTTGCATCCTCTTGAGTTACTGTTAACAGTGTCCCTTTTGAGTAGAGATGGGCTTTTTGGCACAGGGGCTTGTCGGCCTGCCAAACTAATGGACCATATCTGTTATTTAACTAGTTGTAAAGGCTCCAGTTTCAGGACAGCTTGCAGTTGCTGCGGCCACCTGTAGCACATTGGCAGGGGTGGAGGCCACTGCCCATGTGGGACGTAACGTCCCAGCTCAAGAGTGTCCCTTGGCACTGACCTGCCCTCACAGGGACACTTCTGGGGTTTGCCTTGGGGACAAGTGCCCTTCTGTGGCTGTCACCTCCCTGAGGCTGGGTGGCACGAGCTGGGCTGTGCCAGGGGAGCCTTGTTGCCCATGAGGTCCCCAGCTCACAGCTCCTCTGGCCAGACAAGGACCTGACCATGGACAGGCTGTGGGAGGGAAGAGCTAGGCAACAGCACCTGAATGCCCAGGACTGGGGAAGAGGTTAAATTTCAGTAGGAATTAATCAGCCTGAAAAGCTGATTAGGGTAAGGACATCTTTCATGCAGTGCAACTGTAACTCTGTCCCATTTTGAGAGGCATCTCTATGTACCAGTGAGACCAGCAAGGATGAGCTCCCACCTTTACAGGGTGCTTTGGGCACACAGCACTTGCACCCTACAGGATCTCCTCTGATTCTTTCTCTTAGCTGTGTAGGGCCTATAGGATTTTTGTGCTTGTAAGCTAGGCCTCACCACCACATTTGCCTGTTTCAAGGGAAAAGTGGCTCTTGTGTTTGCAAACTGAGGTTTGGCTCCTATTTAAAAATAAAAACCAACACCTTAAACCAGAGCCCTGCAGGCATTACTGCAGGAACAAGAGCTCTGCAGGTGCCACAGCAAGTGCTGCCTCCTTGCCAGTGCAATCTGGGCAGGACAAGGTCTTGCCATAACTACTTGGCCACATGCCTGAGGTTTGTAGGCTAAAAGTGTTCACAGTTGAGCATGACAAGCAAACTCAGCAGCCTTGAGGGGTGAGATCTTCATTCCCTTTGAGTCACTTTCATGAGAAGCCCTGTGTGATCCCATGGCAGAAGGGTCTCATTTCTAGATGTGCTATTAGCTCCTTGACAGCCGTGACTCTGCTGGACACAGGGGTTGTCTGCATTCTTTTAAGAGCCACAGTTTCAGTGAGTGTTTGCCTTTGCTTGGAGGCCTGTGGCAAAAAGCTGTGCTCTGAAAGCCTCCTCTGAGGCGTTTGGCTTTCTGCTCCCCAGAGAGTGGCAGGGTACTCCAGCAAAGAGGGGCCTCGTGCTGCCAAGTTCGGAGTAATTTCCTTCTCCCAAGTGCTCGAGGCTCTCTGGAGCAGAGGTTGCACTGGAGGCTCATCCGTCGCCCTCAGCAAACTTTCCAATAAACAGGAAAGATCGCAGGGAGGCCGACAAGATGGAAATCATTCTCACTCTGACCTTTTGTTCTTCCCCTCCCCTTTTGTCTTAAAACTAACAAGGCGTCGCTTGATTTGTTGCTCCGTGAGCTGCCAGATGGAAGTGGAACTCCTTCCATCGGAGCGTGTGGGGCTCAGCGAGGCCTGAGGAGAGCAGGGAGGCCTGAGGGGCTCAGCTCACTGCATGGCTGTGGCTGGACCCCATTTCCAGCTGGGGACATGCCACCTGCCAGCCCACACCCTGGCTGCAGTGACACACTTAGAAGAGGATGGTCAGTACCCCCACAGCCACTGTCTGCAACGGGGTTTTGGGGTACATGGGTGCAGGGCATTATCTCAGCCCACTGCCACTTTTTGTTTTGATTCCTTCTGTAATGTTGCTGATGTGAAGGGGAGGGAAGCCTTTTGTTTGTGAAATGTTCTCTCCAGCCTTTCACTGTAGTCTCCCAGAATACCCGAAGGTGGTCAGGAAATCTTCCCCTGTGCTAATGAGGCTTGTCCTGCTCTGAGGGGACAAAGAACCATGGCAGGAAGCAGCTCTCTCAAAGAAGATCTTTTCAAAATTGACCAAAAAGGGCTGATCCTCTTCTGTGTGATCTATTCCAGCCCTTCCAGACTTAATTGACCTCTGAAAATACGAATGCATGAGAA